ACCGTCCCACGCTTCTGCAATCAGCTCCCCATAAACTACAATCACGACACGTGCTATCCCTTTGGTACACCCTGTGCTCCCTGTGAGCGAGCGATACCTGGGGAGAATTAAATCCCCGGCATATGAATTCAGAATGCTTTCGAAACTTTGTCAACAACACCGAATACGATCACTAGACGTCATACAATTAACAGAAATACTATATGTGTACCCTTTGATAGCCTGATGAAACGAAGAGGTACGCTGCTATTTTCATTCACTGCTCCTTGCCATTCGAATTCTACGAAACTATATACATATGTATACAAGGTCTGATCGAAAACTTCGGGGACCTTTGGTATGAATTCTTTATTATTAATGTTAACAATAGTTCCATAGGATCACCACGAAGGTAATCTCCTCCTGACCTTAAGGTCTTTTCGTTCTTGTTCGAAAACTAACGATTTTTTGTTTCCTGCTCTGATTATTACCTGAAATTACCGAAACTGGAGTAAGATTATATTTCATCGTTGAACATGATAGATATATGTAAAACATATTTATGAACGTCATATATTTCCCATTTTAACGTACGAATAGATCAATATATTAGCATGAAATTATAGCGTGGACTACCATTTGGGCGTTTGCAAAATCGTTTTTCGTGAAATTTGTTAAAAAACTTGCAAGTTCCGTCATTCGGACGGAAAAGATGTCGCATTTGATCATCATGAAGGTAATCTCCTCCTGGCCTTAAGGTTTTTTCGTTCTTGGTCGAAAACTAATTTACATTAGAGTCCGACAAAAGGGGGTGGGCTGGGTTTGACGAGAAGAAGTGTTAGGAGATGAGAGAGAGAAAAAGAAAGGAGAAGAGGTTTGAAAAGAATGGAGAGTGGATGAGAGAAGAGGTGCGTGTGAAAAGAGAGATAGTGATAACATGCGAATAGGTGCAGAGAATTGTAACCCCTAGGAGAACAATAAAAGGAACTATTATTATTATTATTAGTTTGACAAAAATTGTGGTCACCTTAATTACGAAAAAAAACTATTATTATTATTATTATTATTATTATTATTATTAGTTTGACAAAAATTGTGGTCACTTTAATTACGAAAAAAAATTAATTATTATCACTTTTTCATAAAAGTTCATACAAACAAAATCAGAAATAGAAATGCAGAGGTAGTGTTCCCAATTTTGTCCCCGCTAGTTTTAATGCGTAAACAGTAGGTGGGAATAAATTTTATAATTGACTTTTATATGTTTACAAAATATTTTATTTATGAAAATAAAAAAATAATGTTTGTAATATACTACTTATAAATCTAGCAGGATTATTGAGGTATAGAATTAGATATACTAATCAGGCAAAACACGATATACATATCCCGATCTTATGCCATAAATGTACGTACCACTCCATAAACGGTGCGAACGGCAAATAAATGACAATATTGCAACTTATCGCAGAAAAATGTAATCGGCTTTTCTTTAGGAACTTTCAAGATTTATTTAAAAAAAATTACCGCTTAGTCTCGTTTATAACCTAATTTATTCTTTCAGAGAAGAGAAAAAAATATATAGGTCTTGTAGTCTTCTCTATAACAACTGTGAAAAGTGAAATAAAACAATGAAACCACATTATGTATCAATTTAGAGCATGTCAGATAACTACGAAACTGAAAGAACCTATTAAATCAAACAGTTACTTTCAATTCTGGTCCCAACATTTCACATCACGGAACTTACAATTTTGAAATCGCATATTTCTATAAGAGGATTGTACAATGAAACCTGGCATTACATAGTGAAAAATCATGCCTTGATCATACACGCTTAAATGCAATGCATAGATTTTTTAAATTAAGAAAAAATTTTTTTATCTTTGGCCAGAATTTCGACGAAACCAGCCACTGTGCATCGTTCAAAAACAATATCACTTTTAAATATAATTATCGATTCAGACCCATAACTGACGAAACAACATTCCCACTTCACATTATGAAAACAAGGACAATAAACTACATCTAAGCAAAAAAGAACACGATAGAATCATTTATCTTAAGTACTGAAATTTGATTTTAAATATAAAATAAAAACTAATACTAAAACAGGAAGAACAAATGAGATAACAACAATTAAAGATGGTATGTATAAGTAGCTATGTAAATATTTTGGCAATAATTCATTATGTTTGTATAAAAAATAATTTTTATATGACATTATACATTATTAATTATATTACTATTATATTCATTATTATTCGCGGGTTTCGATTGCTTTATGCATGTCAGATCATTGATTGTACCTATTCGTACAACATAATCGCGTGATCTAACAACACAGGGAATAATTCTTATCTCATAAATATTAATATATTGTTAGTAACGCGATATTAGTAGTTGTTTGACGAAAATAAAGCTGTAAACAACTTCATATGAGCCTCACGTATTAACATGGTTTAAAGAGCTATTGTGTTGGATTATGACGCTCGTCCAGACGATTTCAGCTTACTTTCGGCTAATCTCCAAGGTGATTACACGCGAATCAGTGACGATAGCTTTGTCGCAGCGGGGTATCAGACTAAATTGTCTAACGCTCGATGTAAGGACAAAGAAGATGGCCCACTGACAAATTAACACAACTTGTAATCCTCTTAAATTTTTATCAACGCATGTGTCATAAACAGACTATTCGGAGGAACGAAAAAGAATTAAAAACGTTCATTATTGTGATTACATTTCTCATTGCTATCATTCTAACTCATATATGGCTCGAAAGTAGGTTACAATTATTTATCCTGATTCAAATGTACATATAAACAAATGTAAAAGATTATCAGAAATGTTGGCCTTCTTTTTTTGTATTTTTTCATTTTAAAGTTACATAGTAAATTTTCGGTTAATGTTTAAAACTCGGGACCGTTTTGGCATAGTTATCGTAGAGTAGTGGATGGATAGAGAAATTTATTAAAAGTCATGATGATACGTTTTTTTCGCTAAATAGGTAGAAATTTTATGTAACAAATGTGGTGAAATGATTTAATGAGTGGAAATAAGTTTTGATCGAAAGCAACAAATGAACAAAAAATTACAGATCACAATTCTAACTTTAACCCGTTTAATCGTACAGGACTAGTTAAATCGTCATTTGTATTCACCTGTATGTTCTTATAACTTTTTATTTTCTTACCTATACATCTGAAGATTTTTGGAATGAACTGTGTGATTGTATCGATATTGGTATAAATTAATTCGGATTGTTCTTATTCATTTGTATTGTAATTGTCTCCATGCAGGTGTTAATTGCATATAACACTCTATTGGTCAGATTTTCCATAAAGGCTTTTTTTCATTAAGTAAAACAATAAAATCCATTGATAAAGATTGGCCAAAGTTTTTTTGAACGTCTTGTGAAGTATGCATATCGTTACCAAAGTACATATGTATAGTAATTCTTTGAAACTACATAATTACAGAAATTTCTCCATTACTTTATAAAATTTCCTGCATATTATCTTTACCAAAAAAGGGATAAAATAGCATGGAATGAAGTCATACATTGAAATTTTTTATTACATCCATTTTCTGAGTGTAGATGGACAATCGATTATCGAGATTCCGCAATTCAATTATTCAGACTCACGAATACTCGGTAACTGTAATCAATTTTAATTACGTGACTCGAATTACATGTGCCGGAGTAATGTACACGTTGGCAAAGCGGACCTTTTTGAACTTTATACGATTTCATTGGTTGGATCACGCGATACTGTTTTTATACTGTCTTCGTGTTTCGTGATGGATGCTCGCTATTTTGATAGATCAAATGTTTCCGTTAACAAAAGAAACTTTATTTTTTATACTATTAAGTTTTTTATTCTACTAAGAAAATAATACATCTGAAATGTTTAATATAATACATAATTTCAGTTGACGTATAAACATTTATACATCTTCCCATCCTTTTCAATAATAGATAATACCTACATATATGTATTTTATGATTTCGAAAATCTTCAATCTTAAAATATTCAACATCTTGTTTCAAGCGAATCCCAATTTGAATCAATTTCGCATCCCATCTCACTAATGATAATAATTAAACGTTAATACGCAATTGTATGCAACTGACGGAACTAAGATATACGTATGTGTATCATTAAGACTTGAAAAATGATTTCTTGTTAAAGAATTCCGTTATTTACGAGAAAAAACGAAAGGAATAAGTTTCAATTACTGCTGTTGGAAGTCAGAAGTTTCAGTCATATGTAATGCTCGATCGAACAAAGGATATTACATTCGGAGCATCGATCATTCGACGAGAATCAATAAAAAATCATTATATATTTCGTTTAGCTACCGATCCTCGGCCGATCGTTGATGATCAAAGAACGCAGGAAAATGCGTGGAGCGTAAGTCAAGCAGGCCTGCGCCTGGGAAGGCAAAGGAGTCGTTCGGGCGGAGTCAGGGAAAAGACCACCTCCACCACTTCGAGATCACCTGAGAAGTGACCAATGCACCGCTCGACCAGAGCTATCAAGGTACTTTTCAGCTCAGATGGTCCCTCCTCGACAGGCCCCGGAACGAAGGCGGAGCCTTGCTCGGTTTCAGGTACCTGCCTTTCTTTTCCTTTCTTTTGCTCAGCTTCCCTTCTTGCCCAGTATACGTCCGATTCGGCAACCGAACAGTTCAAGCCCAGACCCCGAAGCAAACAGGTCTCACGATCGTTGGCATTTACACACGGAAAAAGTCAATGATCCGTTTCCGTTTATTCGACGCAGCCTGACGTCTCGTGCGAACACCTCGATCGTTTCGGGGTCCTCTCGAGCCCATCCCCGTACCGACGCGTTTTAGTGCCGATCGGATCGTTATCCGCGATTTGGGACCGACAAAAGTGATCGAATTCGATTGGAAACCATTCGGAAGGAAGGGAATAATTCTCTTTTTGTTTCTTCTTATTTTCTTTGTGTGGGTGATTTGGTGATCAGAGACTGTCGAGGACAGGAGCGACTAGCTAGATGGCAGTCAGCACTCTGAACATGGCACCGTACTTCACTGGATATCCTTTCCAAGGTAAGCTACGTCTTCTTCTTCTTTTTCTTCTTTAAAACTTACTATACACGTGCGTACTGACAGTTACGCTATGTATAAACACTGACTTAGGACACTGAAAAGCAAGCGTCGAATAAACAATCGCTTCGAGAGGAATAATTCTGTGTAGGTTTTTCTGTAGTGGTACTTAATTGGTGAAATGTGGGATGTTGATTAATTTTATAATAACTTTGTACGTTCGCTTCGGTCAACATCATAATTTTTCATAGTTTTTATTTATTATATTCGGTAGTTTTGTTACATTATGTGATATAATGGTTATTTTACCGAAGTCTTCGCGTCAAAGGGTTAGTAATCGGTAAATGTCGTGACTGTATTTGAAAGATGAGATTAGTGTTAACTGTATGTAATTTCTAATCTCTACAATATTCCACGAATTTCTGTTTCTTGTGCTGATTATTACCTGAAATTACCGAAACTGGAATAAGACTACATTTCATCGTTGAACATGATAGATGTATGTAAAATATATTTATCAACGTCATATATTTCCTATTTTAAAGTACGAATAGATCAATAGATTAGTATGAAATTATAGCGTGGATTAGCACTTGGGCGTTTGCAAAATCATTTTTCGTCAAATCTATTAAAAAACTTGCGAGTTCCGTCATTTGAACGGAAAAGATGTCACATTTGATCGGACCGACGCGACGGTCGATGTAAGTCAATGCGTCAAAGTACAAGTGCAATCTTTGTGAATTGAATCATGCAAAATTTTTAATCTTAACCCCTTGCCATACGATTTCTTTCACGACTTCACTCTCAAGAATTACTTTATCGTTAATATTTTCCCAGATATAAAAGGAATTCTATTCTTACGGCAAGTGTTACATTTATTCTAAACCTTAAATGTTAATTGCAGCGAAAAAGTATTTCACGTCGACTCAAAGAAAATTAATAATATACATATTTTCGAAATTTAGTTCCAAGCCGTTATCAAGTGCCTGACTCGATGTTGTAAGGCAAGAGGTTAAAGCGAAACCCTATCTTTTTAGTTGAGAAAATACGACTGTTTGCAATAATAATTAATTGTAATAACTGGAGAATGGTGGAAAGACAAAAAGAAATGACGTTTTTAGAGTCGAAAATACGCACAAGTTACGTTAAAATTAAAATTTAATTTTCATATGTGGATTTCATGTACTTGTCTTCATATTTTATTATGTAATAGGAACGATAATAATATTTTTGAGAGGTGTATGTACCGTGTTAGCGTATATGCACTACATAAACTGTTATTTCTTATAATTACAGTTATCAGTTTAAAAGAAGAAGAATAAAAAATACTGGTCACTATCGTGTACATAATATCATTCGTTGTCTTATTTTATTTTCATTTATTTTACATTATGACTGAAAGTGTACTCGTTAAAAGTATACTAATAAACATTTAAGGCTTTAACATTAATCCGTGCAATCATACATTGCGAATGTTCAAGATCTGAAATTGCACCATGAAAAATTGATAAATAATATCCGATTTTATTTTTTTTAAATATTAGTAAAAATTTAATAAAAATTCTATTGTACATAAAATATATATAGATATATATACATATATGATATAATGACTTTAGTATGGCTAAATTTTGTCGAAAATTGAATTTCATATAAGCATAACAGGAACTGTTTAAAATGTTTACTATTATAGCTTTTCATAAATATATAAAAAGCCAAATAATTTAAACATGATAATGGATAAAGGTGAACGAATTGACACTCGAGGAAAAGTTCACACACTATACTAGTGATTCTGCTCCAGATCTATATTGTCTAATTATTGTCTTCATTAAATTCAATCGCAGTTTGTTGGTTCATTTAACAAAATAAAGTTCTTAATCGTCACTGTACATATGGTTAATAATAACAAATGTATTGTGGATTTTGTACAATTACAGTGCATACAGTCGCCCAAAAGTAAGAAAGTTAACAAAGTCCAATGCGATCTTTATTATATTATGGACTTTTGCTAGAATAACAACATTTTTGTTTGAATCCTATTTCTACATACTTATCTATAATAATTCATTTTTCATAAGTATCCGCAATCTAATGGAACGATCGAAACAGCACTAACCAACCACCTATATAGCTCCATTATTTTAGCTTTGAAATAATTTGGCGTATAGAACGAACACAATTTTTAAGAATTATTGATTCACTGATTTATGATGGTAGAGAAGTCCTTTCCGTTTCGCTGACTTTCCCAGTCTGAATCTTAAACTGACTCGTTTCTGAAATGCCTCCTCAACCTCCGGACCGGTAGAAAAAATTGCATATGAACAATAAAACAGGATTTAAGGTTCTCCAGCATTTAATGCACCAATGTCAGATGCCTTCTGGAGTCTTTACAAAGAACAAGAGAAACTTTTACAGCCGATCCTAATGGTTTTACGATGTGCTTTGAGTGAATTATTCCCTCCCTGTTAAACGCTTCGGCTTTTTTTCTACTTCTCCAGTGACCTTCTTCGAATGCGTTTCGTCGTTACGCAAACCGTTGAATCCATGTTTGCGGGTGGGAATTCATACAGAACAGCGAAGGTTTAAACAGCATCGTTCTCTACCAGAGCCATAAAAAATGAAAAGTAAATGCATGAGAAGATATCAGTTTCATTTGTTACTTGAACGTGCGCAATTACCTCAGTGGGCGATCAGATTGCATTGGTCAACATGATTTTTGTCCCAAAGAACATTTATACTGCCAGCGTCGCAGATTTTACTAAACTATTTTGCTTCTGTATTGAATACAAAACGTGTCTTACCATTTCTGTTAATGCTTTCCAGAAGAAAAATGTTCACTGTATTTACTGACGTAGGCAGATGATGTCCTGTACCCTTATTTTTTAAAATAAATTGAAAAATATCTGTAAAAATTGGTACATTTCGGGTGTCCTTTTCCCTTTGATCGTTGTTTAAACATGTTTAAATGTTGATAATGCAATAACAATGTATACCATTTTACTCGGGAGAGTTTACATAATAATTTGATGCAACAATCATCTGAATAACTATTAATGTTTAAACACAGGAAGTGTTCAAAGTTGAAAATTTGAATTTTTCTTTTAAATCAAATTTCTCGGAAACTGAGGGTGATAGCAGAAAACTGTTTACGGATTCATATTCAGCACAGAGGAATCTATAAGAATCAGTAACTGGATGTTCGAAGACAAACAAAAAGTTAAATTTTGTTGACCAGTGTTATTGGAGTCACAACAGTATGAAATTGTTTTGGAATATAGAGCTACTTTATTTCACATTTAATCCTCTATTTCACAATAAATGATTCTAATTGCAAAAAATTTCGTTTCTGTCACGGCTTTTTTCAAATTGAAGAAGAGCAAAATACAATGCTGGAATATACTCCCTGTCAGATGTGATTTTAAATAAAAAATAAACAAATGTTTTCGTCCACAGTATTGGACTTGTCAACGTATTTCGTTATAGCAGAATGGTCAATTTTTGATAAACAAATGAAAATCGGCGTGAAATATAAGTTCTCGGTACATCATCACATAGGAACGATCTGCAGAACTTACTTGTCGGTTAACAACCTATTCCCAAATACAAAATTACAGACGATAATAAAACGGATCAAATTACAAACAAGATAAATTCATCGCTGCAATAGTCATTCGAATAATAGTGTATTCTGATAACAATCAGCCCGAAGCCCGTGCACTTCACAACTGGTCAATCTGTGTCGATGTCGGAAACAGAGACTTCTACCGAAACGCTAAGTACCAGTATTATACCGGTATTTTCGGTTGTATTTTTGCCCTATATAACCCTATATAAACCCTACTCTCATAGAAACCGAAAAAATACCGGTATTTATTTCGGTTTTCGGTAATATATCGGTTTCGGTATAGCTTTGATGGCATAATACCGGTATCAAAATCATACCGGTTTAAGGGGTCATGCTCAGTCAGGAGGCCGAAGAAAGAGTGAAAAAAAGAGTGTTCTTTGGGAATTTTTTTCTCGAAAACTATAAGACCTTTTTCAAAAAACGTGTTTGTGTTTCAAAGATTGTAGTTTCTAGATTATAAGGTAATTTTTTTATTTAAAAATATGTATTAGTAAATGAATGGTGAGCGATCTCACGAATGTATCTTCACAAAAAGTAGTCTGCCGTGATCACTGTAACTTCGTAACGGCTCATCTGAAATTAAAAATTCAGTAAGATTTATGTAATGGAAGAACCAATCTTGTCCTTGAACGTGGGGTATTTCGAAATATTGAACAAAATAGCGGACGTTTTCCTGAAAAAGTGCGATTTTCACCTAAAACCACTCACTCGCCTTTGGTCAATTAAAAAAAAGTATGGAACGAACAAAAGAATCCTTCGTTCAAGGACAAGTTATTCTGATTTGAAATAAGGCGCAAAAGGCTTCATGTAAATCGACACAGTAGTTCTCGAGAAATATTGATGACCGATTTGAAAAATGTAGTTTCGAGAAAAACGCGTTTAAAGTTTCAAGTCAAGCTTACACTTATATAAAATGTTCATATTTTAACGCCTGTAACTCTGTCATTTTTAATTCGATTACCTTGAAACTTGCACAGAATATTCTCGAGGTGTTGTACATAAAGAAAGTGTAGAAAGTGAAAAATCGATTTTTTGAAAATTTCTGACTGAGCATGACCCCTTAAGTCCCTGGTCGGAAATCGTACTTGGAGTTGCGTTCGCAAGGACACGTTCGGGAATAACAGAAATTGGGCTCCGATGCGAATGAGGATACATACACACACACAGGCGCACTCGTGGGCGTCGGTACGTAAAAGAGTTGAAGTATATAGCTGGAGCCGTGGGTACCTACATAATGTCTGATATCGGATAGGCCCCGAGCGACGGCACACGTTGATTGAAGCCTTCGTAACTTGGAACTCACACCGAACGTTAAATACTTACATGCATCCCCTCGTCGTCCGCACAGATATTTCCACTCAGGTAATACGCGCGC